TCTGTGCTTCTGAACATGAGTGTCCTGAATATCCTGACCATCCCAAGAAGGATTATAGCATCTGGACAGCCCTTATATAAATTAAAGACCACAGTTTTGATCCTCAGCTGGTATAAATCAACATACTGCCACCAAAGCCAACAATACTACACCACTTTAACCAGCTGAGGTTATGGCACAACAAATATGGCACATAAGAGAATGTTTAAATTAAACTGAAGCCCATATCCAAAAAGTTACAGATTACACTATATAAATTTATATCATATGAAATTACAGTAGCCAGGAGTCAATATTTCCAGGGAAGGAAAAAGAGAAAGAAAAATGTATTGCTTAGGCATCCTTCTTTTTTTATATGCCAAAGATGACATGACCACCAGCATAACATACAGAGGAACATGAATGTTTTGGGTAAGGATCCAAACATTCACAACATACACAAAGCTTATCCAAATTTAATTTGAACCTCTCTGGTCTGGAAATAAACTTGGAAATCTCAAGCATTCTCTTTTTTAGTTTTCCAGGGAAAAAGGTAGGTTAGGAAAGCCCTTTAAGTGATCCTAATACTGATGTGACAGGATAACAAGTCAAGGAATTAAATTAAAATTAACAGAGAGGAAAACTTTGTCTTCCTACACAAATGTGGATCACCCTAGATACAGCAATGCTGGTGACATTGTCTTGTTTCAGCAATGGAGTGCTCAGAATTCATAGTAATTCCAAACGCTTTGCATTCACTTTTGATTCTGGAAATGCAGTCACAGCCTGCAGTGGCTTAGTCCAGAAGCCGGGGGGAGCTAGAACACACTTCCCTACTAAACTGAAACAGATAGCTTGGGCCAAGGTTAGCCCACATACCCTGTGAGGGAGGCTGTTGGGGAGGTACAAAGCATCCTGGCATGTTGGGGGACTGAGTTAACTTGAATCTGGAGGGGATCTGGGAAAGAAGTTCAATAAATCAATTGGTTCCATGTGCATGGCTCCAGTGTGCATGGCTGCATTGGTGGGATGACTGCATGTAGCATGCAGGCAGCCATACCCTCACAGCCACGCCTTAATATAAACTCAGTATAAATAAAGGAAAAGGTAGACTTGCTGGTTGTAGTAGTCTTTCAAACAGTTTCATTGTACTGCGTGGCCTGAACGAAAATAATTGCTCTCATGAAAATCTAGCCCTTGGATTGCTTTAGTGTGCTGTTCTCATGTTCATTTCTTCATGTTCTCTGGTTGAAATTCACCCATGTACTGTGAGGGCCACCATCATTCTGGAAGCTATAACTGGACAAAATAGCATATAGACATTGTGCTGGCACTCCCACACAGGGGAAGATTTCACTCCCTACGTGCGTGGGGTCCTTGTGTCATTATATAGTATAATATAATCTCTTGAAACACTTGTGGAAGCACACAATCTAATTAGGTGAATAACAATGATTACAGAGATTAAATAGTTTTTTTTTCCAATGCGGCTTCATTAAATTATAAAAATATTTAGGGCATGGAAACAATGCTTCCTGTGCCAAATGATTTTTTTTTAAATGGGACATTGATTCAAATGGAAACAGCTTTTCTTTGGGGATTTCCTTCTCCTTAAAATGTCCTTTCAAACATCAACAAATCTGGAACTCACAAGAAACAATTCACAGTAGAAACTTTACAAGAGTTACGTTTTGTTGTACAGATATATACAGAAAAGAAAAAAAAAAGAAGATACATCTGTGGTAAAAATAATAAGTCCTTTTCCCCCCCGGTGTCATGTCTTTGGATATGTACAGCCTTGGAGAAATGTATAAATCATTTTTACATGAAACAGTCTTAGAAAACTAGAGATTTTAGTACAAAGGAATCAATTCACTGAAAGAATGTCCACATGCTGTTGCTTTATGAGTTACTATATACACAAGAGGCTCACACAAAGGAACCCTGTTTTACAGTTACTGCTGTACTGTACATTAACATGTGGGTATTGTCCTTCTCTGGGCCAGATTTACACATAGTATTACAAATAATATTATAACAATGCTGAAAACACTGATACAAAACAGCTTTAAGATGACATTTTTTTTTAAATATCCCTCACTTTAATTGATCTGTTTTCTTCACGTTTTTTTTGTTCGTTTGTTTTGGTTTGGGTTTTTTCCCACTTTAAAAAAAAGATTTTCCAAGAAAATAGTAGCATTTAAAACATTTTTGCAGACAGATTTTTTTTTTTTATAATTTAGTGTCATCCAAAATTCCATTTTTTCCAGGAAAAAAATCAACTATAGATATAGTACATAAGTAAAATGTAAGAGTTCTATGTATTATAGTACATTTGTATCCTGGAAAAAAAGCCCTTGATTACAATATTATGCTAATTTATTTACAGGTCTGAAATATAGTTGCACACATGAACTCTTGAGATAAGCCAGGGTAAAATATGTGATTAATAATCATCAGCTGTCCTTTTCAGTTTACCATAACTATAAAAAACTGTTCAGAGGAAAACATGAATCTGAACAGTGATATTATGTTACTATTTTTTTTTTTAAGTTTGTAGACTATAAACTAAACTAGGAGTTTTGAAGCATTAGGAACACCTATGGTTAATTCAGAGAAGCTGTATTTGCAGTTTTGCGTTGTTCTGTTTTGGCAGTAATAACCCTCTCCCCCCCAAACTAGATAAGAAGTGAAGGGGTTTGGCAAATGTTTGTCTTGATTCTGATATGTTTGGCTCGAAAACCCCAAATTACCACTATATCATATTCAGATAAAACTTAGTGTCTTCAGCAGCAGATGATGTCCTAAACTAACCCTAACTAAATTAAAGTCTTCTGTAAACAGAAGCCTAGCAGATCAAGGTTACTAACATGGCTTTGCAGCACTTTTTCTGAGGCTTTTAATATATATGTTTTCCTAACCCAAGTAGTCAAGCTGAAAGTTAGACTGCTAGGCAAAGGCCATTTGTTCTGCTTGGAAAATGTATACACTACTAAATATTTTTTGCGTGCATTTTGTGAACTACCTTTAAAAATTAGGTCACTGTGTAACAAGTATGGGAGTTTCAAAATATGTTGGGTGGTACTGCAAATAAGTTGTTAGCTGCTCAAACCTTTGTGTGAGAATCTGATGTGCACTTTCATTATTTGTAACACGCAGAGAAGTGACCTTGCCTATGTCTGCTTCATATTCACTGAAGTGCAGAAGATTCCAGTTATTTGTGAACTTCTGATTATATGCCAATTATTAGTCAAAAAGATTGCCTGCCATTACAGAGGTTTTAAGTTAAGAGTCAAGCCTAGTATACGCCACATGTTTACTATAACTTGGTTGAGCTACCCAATTCCTAGTCCTGTGGAGAGATCCAATAGGGTCTTATTTCACTGACTTTAAAGTTTGGTCAGATGATATCAAGTTCCTGTGAGACGAGCATGCTGTAAATCAACTAATAGATGGGTCTCATCAGGTATGTACCATGACAATAGACTATCAAGCATGCTGTGTTAATCTACTCCAGATCAAGTATAGCTATAGTCTTGGAGAAATGCTAATTTACAAAAGAAATGTGGCTTGAATGATAAAAGAACGCAATTTGTTTTAGCTTTTTATCCATTTACAGCTTCATACAGTGGGGTGTGGCATGACATTACATGATGCATCAGATGGCACTGTAATAGTAAAAGCTTTGCTAATGCTAATAGCAAGAGTTTTGCACGCTGATTCCATAGTAGGCTGGCGAAATGGCCCGTAGCCTCCTGCTCTGTGAGCGTGACCGAACCATGAACCTAGATAGTAGAATGTTGTAATACAGCGGAATGTGGTAAACACCAGGTGTGTTGGATCACAACTCATCCCCAAATTCCTAGCTTGAGATAACCAAATCCCTAGCTCGAGATAATATTATTTACTCCAGACTATATAAGCTGTACATTTTTAAGTTATGAGGGGTTCCTCAGCTCTGGCAAAAGTTATGACTTGTGTGGAGCCCCAGCGCAGGTATCGCATTCCTGGGATCAGGACACTCCGGGGCCAGAGAAACTATGCGGGGTGGTGGCTGCCACCTAGAGCTGATAAGAAGTGACCATCCTTTTTGCTCTGTCCTATCACCTGCCCCTGCGAGTATCTTTAAATAAAGCTTTGCAAGGTTGAGAACAAACATGAGTACGTCCTTTGTTCAAGCATGGGGAATCTTCTGAACCCAGCAGTTCATTCTAAGACAGGCACAGAATGTCATATTGTGCCATGAGTGATGTATCATCTATGAAAGCAGAACAAATATCACCACAATGTGATGTGTTGTAATACAATAATAATAGTGAAAACAATGTTTTTGGAAGATTAAAGCTATCACCCTCAGTTTGGATCCATATTACTCATTCTGAAATCCTTGGTGAACCTGTGTGGCCTGAACATTAGGGTGAAAAACCAAAAAAACCCCAACAACAACAACAAAAAACAAAAGCAGTCTTCCTCTACTAGTGTAATGAAGCATTCACAAAATTCACACAGTAGGGGAAGACGTCACAACATCTCTAGTTTAAAATGTATGAACATGTCTTGTTTAAAGTAAAACAAATAAAGCTATCAAGAGAGGGTCTCAAAGACTTCTATTTCCCTAGTCTCTATGAAATTCAGGAGTGTTTACTAATAATTTTTCTACTCAATCCCCACATCTACTTTTACAGCAACACCATTAAATGTAGACTGTGCTATTTGAGATCACCCTCTGGAACTTCAGTGTGTCACTGGTTTATGGAGGCAAAAAGGTCATAAATTATTGACCCTATTTGGATTAGAGACACCAGCCAGATGGTCCCATATATTATACAAATAGTGACTTCTCCAAGACAATTCAATCTAGTTATTTAAGTTAACATGCTAGTCCACCCTTCCCCTCCCCCCGCACAACAAGGGAAAATATGAACCCCATAAAAAAAAATTTTAAATGTAAAGCTAGCAGCAGATGAGAACTTAAGGCTCTAGATGAGCACTCCTTCTATGAGACGAATAGGAGAATCTTGTTACCCATCTTGTTGACCTAAAGTCTGCAGCTCTGCAGTATGTATATTATGATGAAGGAAAACATTTTTCCTGCTGTACATGTGTAAGGAAATTGGTCCCCTTGGAGGCTGTCCAAGTCTTCCTGTGAATGTGGAATGCTGCCGCGGTATAGCAGTCTGATCCTTTGGAGCCCCTGAAAATACAGGGAAGTTTTCTGCCTTGGGTGCTGGCTTTACTGTATTTTGCGCAGTGTTGGCCAAAAGATTATGGGTGACATTAGAAGTGAGGGTTTCATATGTGCCTCTTGTGTGCTTGACGACTTCCACTATTTCTTTATCTTTCAGGAGGTTGCTCCGACACAGATTTGACAGCTGACAGCTTTTGGTCTCGTAGGCAGTTGCTTGGTTGCCCGATGAATATCTAAAAGGGTCCTCGGTGGGAGTATGTGCTGACTTTCTGTCCCTTGTGTTGAGATTTTGGATCGTAATTCTGTTTAGATATGTAGCCTGGAGCAAAGAAAACAGAAATTAAAAAAAGGCATTAGCAACAGAACATATTAACACTAAAACAGCACACAGCATGCAGAGCACTCCCAGTAGCATCTGCAGATAAGCAACAGACTAGGCATTCACTGCTGCTTGATTAAAATGAAAGACAAATCTCAAATGTTAGCAGATCTCCCAAGGCACTGCTAGTGTAAAATTGAAGAATTATTCATTTATAGTTAACAAAACAACTTTGAAAAGCATTTATTTAATATATTGAATTTGGGAATTTGCTTTAAAAACCTAGTTAAATTGAAAAGGCAGATTCTTTTAGGGAGGAATAGACATATAGGGAAACCTCATGACTTTTAAAACAATTTGTTTTGCACTCATCTTAGTTAAAGAAATAATAGTTTTGGATCTAGAAAGCTAACTCTAAATCCTTTCAGGCATTATCTACGAAATGAAAAGAAAGCAAATTCTGAATAACTTTACATTGCTGTTAAACTCAGAACATGCTAACATTAAATGTGTGAGTACTCCTGTTGAGGTCAATTTAGATATTTCCTTATCTGCATGAAATTAAATGCATTAAATGTTTTGCTGTATGAGGGACTTACAGATCCAAAATAAGGGGCGTTTCAGCATATCAGCATTTATCATATTGTCTAGGGACAGAAATTACTCATAAACTGGTATAAGTGATCAGTAATGGGTTCAAATCTGTAACACAACAGAAGTTCAGTGCACATACACATGCTCCTGGAAGAGC